CTGTTCTTTGTACCTGCCCCCCTGCCTTCCTGTCTCTGGAATGAATCTGTGTCAAGTCTTCCCAGCCTTCTGAAATTAGGGCAGTTCCCTGGTTTTTAGTGCAGTGACTGGGATCTGGAGCACAGCTGGAGAGTCATCAAAAAAACCTTGCTAATCCCCAGGTGAGCTTAGGTTTGGCATCTCCTAAACTTCTGCATTAGGACTACCAGTAGTCTGTACATGTACCTACTTACCACTTTTTTTGGTCAATCTAAACAAAATGTTCCCCAAAGTTCTGTGCCTTCAGCCCAGTTCCCTGCTGAGTGTCTCAGTCTGAAGGGCTGATGGCTTTTCAGTGAACAAAGCTGCCCTGAGACATTTCTGTGGAGAAGTGGCACTGGATGTGCTGTCCTTGGAAAACATGGCACAGCTTTTGTGCTGTCAGTAGGTGAAACTCTCTTTGTGAGTGCTCTGTGCTAAGCCGTGGTGATGTTTTGCTTTTAGGCTGCCAGTCTGAAGTGCTTTTTGCTTGGCATTGTTCTGTTTCCAGCAGCACTGTGAACTTCACAATCTGTTACCTGAGGGACAAACCAGGGTCTCATCTGGGTGTGCTTTTAGCTACATCTGCAGTTCCTGGGTGAGTCAACTCGAAAATGCTTCTCCAGGAACCTCAGGGCAGCGCCACACCTACAGATTCCAGATGTAGGAACAACTGAATAAAGATGCCTCCTCTTCACTTCTTGTTGCCAGGAAACCTGGCCACAAGAAGTTGCCAGGTCCAGCATCATCCACTTCCCCAAGCCAATGTTTTCAATGTGGTAAAGATCAGCTTTAGGTGCTCAAGTTTTGGTTCCTCTCTGTGTTCAAAAACCCTTTGTTCTTCCTGTCTGACTCCTCTGCCCACATTTCTGTATTTAATTCCTGTCCCCATCATCTTCTAAGTGCCACTTCATGCATCGTGTGTACTTGTACAAATACAAGAGCAGGCGAAGCAGTACATGAAATGAATATTACAACTATAATCTTTTCAAGGAATTTGTATTTTCATTGAGACATTAAGTTATACTGGAGTGTCTTTAACTGTGGTTACATTCTCAAGAAGCACAAGCCACCCAGGCACTTCAAGCATCAACTTTCTAAACATCCAGATATCAAATTTAATTAAACAACCTTTTCCTGAGTCACCCTTCAGTCTAGCAAGTGTTTCACTCCCCCAGGTTTCAGATGAAACCCCTTCTAGAACAAAGCATGTCTGTGAGACAGGAAGCAGATATTGCAAACAATCGTACTTGCAAATGTCTTTTCTGCCTCGTGACACAAAGAGCTCTCAATTCACTGAATCCCACTGAGTGTTTATTATCTGTGCTCTGAACACACAATAAGGGAACCAGGACCTGTTGGGAGCCCTGTTGCCAAATGCACAGTAGAGTATTCCAAGAGTTCACCATGCTCTGGGGCACTGGGGATGTGTGCATTAGTAAGAGAAGCACTACAGCATAGGGAAAACTGGAATACTGCCATTTTGGAGGGAAGGAGGAGGGAAAAGTGCATGTTTCCACGGCAACAAGTGGTAGATGAAATTGGCTGCGAGCACGAAATACAGGAAATACACTTTTCAGAAGCAGCGATGCACATAAATGAATCCTGGAATCTCTCTTCACGCCACTCTCAGTCAATAATAAATCTGAAGTTGGTAGATTTGCACTGCTGTAAAAGTAGAATTTGTCTCAAATACAGAATTTCCCAGTCTCTCTTTTGAGATGGAAGGAGTGGGAAGGTGAAGGAAAATAGGGGTTTTAGCTTTGACTTCATAAACTCCCATCAGAGTGATAGCAGAGTAGCTTTTCTCAGCAGGTACACAGCTGCTGTTGAAGTGTGTTACAACCAGAACCACTTAAGTAATACAGTGGTTTTGAGAGGATGCTCTTCTTTTGTCTCCCCATTTTTAAAGCTACATAAACACCATTATTTGGTGTATTTTGCACATTATCCATGTCAGTACATCTTTCCCTGCAGAGTACAGAGCAAGGCTGTGTTAGCTGTGGGGCTGAGGCAATTTGCTAGACAGCTACAGACCATCAAACACCTGCAACTGTGCTGAAAAATATCGACCCTGTTAACAACTGCCTGGTTATGTGCCATTCTTATGCAGTCAGCCATTGAATAACCACTTGCTAATCTGTCCAGAGATCATTCTTTGTGCTAAACACAGATCTATAGCCTGATGGTACACGTGGATTTGCTGTTATCTAAGTGCTGCTATCACAGCAGCAGTGCTGCTCTTTTCTGCACAGGTAGTAGCAAAGCCCTAGAGAGAACAGACATTTCTACTGGATCCCATCTCCCAGACACTTCCCACCCCAGCACTACCTTCCTTAGCTATAAACCTCCAAGTTGTCACACAGAGACTGTGCTGCACAAGTACCAGTGAAATGAATGAATGCAAACACCTCAAAAGCTCATCCAAGAATTTCACTCTTCCCAGTCTGGTTTCATTCCCACACCACAGCCAAGCTCTGCTCTGTGTGAGCTCTTTGTGGGGTGAGTCCTAGTCAGAAACTCCAAAGGGATGTCTTGAGGGCTTTGGCTCTTTGGTCTTTGCCAGAATTCACTTTTACTTTGTTGGCTGGCTATTGGGTTTTTTGGACACCCACTTGCTTTTCCTGGTGTAAATATTTTCTTGCATTCATCCACCACCTGAAGTTGTTTGCACGATCATGTTCTATTCTGGTGGATGAGTTAAGAGCTGAGCTGAGCTCTGCCAGCACATATGTGCTGGAAGTTGTGTGGGAGACTGCTCCCAATCTGTTTTGCCTTTTTTCCTGGCTATTCCAGCAATCTCCGTGCCGTCTGTTCCCCGAAATGCGCTCAATCCTCCACGTTCCAGGAAGAAGGAACCAAATTAAGGCCTGACTTCCAACACTTGGAACAAAGATGGCTTTTAGCCATCCTCTAGACATCACCAGTGACACTGATGGCTGCACCCCAGATTGCTGCATGAGATCACAGCAGGCAGGGGAGGCTCCCTTAGCTGCATTCACTTACACAGAGCAAATTTCCTGCTCCCTGGTGGTGGCCAGCCCCCGTCACCTGTCCAGCAGTGTCCTCTGCAAGTCCTTGTACTGACATTTGACTCTAGGGGTGCATCCCTCACAGCATTTCTGCTCCCTGGTGGTGGCCAGCCCCCGTCACCTGTCCAGCAGTGTCCTCTGCAAGTCCTTGTACTGACATTTGACTCTAGGGGTGCATTCCTCACATTGCTTTAGTCTCAATATTAAGCAAGACAAATGGTAAATGAAAATAAGAGATAAAGGCTGTAGTTACAGCACCTGAAGCTGCAATTCCATCAGACCTTTCACACTAAGAGAAGTCAGGCAGGGCTGAAAAGAGATGTGACCTTGCAGGCATTTCAGCAGTAGGAGATGGGGCTGGGTATGAAAATCTTCTCATTCAGTGAATATTTTGTGATGGTTGAATTGGTTTTAGGGATGTAGTAGGGTGGAAACCATTTTTTGTGTATTTTAAAGCAATCAAATTAGGCTCTTGATGTATTAAGAGATCTCATGAGTTATCAAATGGCTGAAATAATGGAATTAATAATATTGAGCTGCAATGTGAAGTATTTCCCTGAAGTGCATGCACAAAGCTTGCAAGGTCAGGATGATCAAGGCCCATCTTTTCTTCCTTAAGTGATGAGTGTTAATAGGACACACCTCTGATCTGCTCTGCCTGTAACTCTTGGGACTCAGTGTGCATTGGAGGGGGATCTTTTCTGCTTGTCTGGATGTACATGTTTTCTGTGGCAGGGTGTGCCACCTGCACTGAGTTGTGCAGCCCCTGGCACAAAGCACTGCTCCCCTTTGGGTGCCAAGTCCTGCTGTGCAGTCACTGGGACTGGAGGGACCATAACTCCATCTCTGCTGTCGCAGGGGCACCATGAAGGGCACCCAAACTCTCCTCTGTGCTCCCTCAGCAGCTGCTTCCTTAGCTGAGGGCAGCAGTGGTGAAGGCAGAGATGTTCTCCTCCATAAACTCTGGTCCATTAGGACTCGTGCTCTGATCCACACATTTGTTCTCATTCCCTGTCCCCGGAGGTAAAGTTTAATCAAAAGCATGCACATGAATGAGTTAGTCTAAATATCAATAAATGTTTCTTTCAGGAGAGGCTTGAGATATTTAATATTTAATAAGCCTTGAAAATGAATTTCTGTTCATGTTTCCTAATTTGATTCCAAGCATTTTGGCGGTGAGCAGCGCTCGCTGTCCCTGTGTGGGCAGCACAGCACAGATTATTTAACAATCCACTTTGTCTCCTCTAAAATATTCATGTTTGCAGATATCCAAATGCAGCCCTTAAAAAAGCACACACAAAACCCAAATGGTGCAGTCTGAGCCTCCCAGTTACCTTGAGCCTTTGCTTTAGGCTGCACACCACAGTGATGCTGTTTCTCTCACAGCTCTCCCCTGTTGCCCTGGTTACTGATCAAGCCAGAGCATCCCTGCTGTGCCTGCAGCTGGACTCACACAGGCACCTTCCCCACGTGAGGGCAATGCTGCTTCCCCCTGAAGGCACCAGTGCAGCCACCAGTGCAGCAGCTTTCCCTTGGGCAAGTCAATGTGCAGCTCTAACAATTGCTTTATGCTCACATTCAGTCGAGCTGACAAAGCCAAATCTGGTTGATAAATAATTATACTACTATTTTTGTTAAAGCACTGGGTTTTCTGGAGGACCTCCAAATCTCGACTGCAGCAGCAGAGCTGCAGGTAGATTTGGCAGGATTTTGTCTCCCAAATTGACTTCTGTCTTGTTTTCCCTTGAAATCCAGGCAATCCTGACTGAAGGGGGAGTTAATATTTTTTTCTCCTGCAGCTGATTGACAGCAGAGAATGTGCTGGATTAGTTTGTGGGGGGTTCCCTGCAGGCAAAGGACCTGGGGGTGGGTGGCAGTGCCTCTGACAGGGCTCAGAGGATGCTCCATTGTAAAGGGAGGCTCCTCCCTCTTCTCATTCACAACACTTACTTTGAGAGTTTCATTTCAATTTGCTGCCGGATTTCCTGTCTTTCCTCATCTGTTCTCCTTGGGAAGATATTCCTGTCTTCCAGCTCCTGCTTACTTGGTCTGTTCCGTAGCTTCACTGCCAGCAGTTCTTTCTTGCATTTTCTTGGCAAAGTACCTGGGAAATGCATTGAAAGGAAAGTTATTAGAAAGGCAGCTCCTGGGGATGGATCAGGAACTTCTGGAGAGCAGGAATGGCACAGAGTGACAGTGATCTGTGTGGTGCTGTGCAAGGAGCAGTTGTACGCATTATTGTCACAAAGCAGCTGAGAAGGGCTCAGACACAAAACTACTGCAAATGCAGAGGGAAAATATTCCTCAGAGCATGCAGGAACTGCAGTTAAATCTTTGTTTCATCTTGGGAGCACGGTGTGTAATAGGAGGTTAATTTGTTTTGGTTCCTTTTTGCTTTAAAGGGTTTGGGTTTTTTTAAAATTTAATGCTTCACCTTTTCTAGAGAAGGTCACCTCATCTTTAAAGAAAATGACATTTAATTGGTATTTTTGTTTGGCATTTGAGATAGGATTAAAGTATATTTTGTAAAGGATGCTCTGGAGGTTGGCAAGATTCTAAATCCTAAATAGGTTCTCATTCCCAGATACTGGGGTTTTATTTGCTAGGGATCTGTGGACCTCCTTTTTTATTATCACTACTGATCTCAAATTTCTTTATGCAGAGGGAGGAGTCTGTACAGCCTCTTTTCCACATTTACCTGTTGAAAAGAGTGGAGCAGAGTAATTTTGGTCTCCCTGTGTGAGCAGTGAAAAATCTCTTGGTAGTTGCATTGATCTAAAGTTAAACTTTTCAGAAACCATAATCAGCTCAAAGCCCCTTTCTGAAGCCTAAAAAGCTGTGCCCTTATTTAGCACCTTCCTTGAAACGCTCTCACAGTCTGTTACAAGCATTAATTAAATTAAACCACACAGCCCTGTCTGAAATAGCAGATATACATTTAACAGATGGGTAGGGAAGTGAAATGATTTGGCTGCTAGCACACAGAGCCTTCTGCTAACTGAATATCTGACTCCATCGGGAGCACTTGGCTCACAAAGCCACAGACTTGGGACTCTGACAGGGTTTCTCACCACGCTGGGAGTGGGTGCAGAGGAACCAACAGAATTCCTGCTGGAAATAACCTGAAAGACATTTGGGGCTAGAAAACTCCTGGGAATCCCTGCACGCATTCCCAGCTTCACTTGAGTATGTCAGAGAAGTCACAGGAGGAGTTTGGCCATGTCAGGAGGTTTCTGTGACAAGGAGCTCTGTGTGCCCACGGGAGCTGCAGCACTGGCCAGTGCAGAGTGTCCAGGGCAGGGCACCTTGGGGCCCCCACAAGTGATATAATCAATAGGATTTCTGTCATTGACTTCAAAGGAAGTGGGGTGAAAATCCTAATTAACAGTGTCAGCTCCCTCTGTCAATCAAAGGTGAAGTGTTGATAATGAAACATCATTTACAATCAAAGGTGGAGTGTTGATAATGAAACATCATTTACCAGAACAGGTTAAAATGCATGTATACATGCAAAATGTATATTTTAAAAAACAATAAGTGCACATGAATAAAACAAAACTAGAGAACAAAGAGAAAATAAAGCCCCAAGCTATACTTCTCCACATCCATTTTCAGCACCCTGAGACAAATTCCTTCCTGATCACTACCTCAGTAGAAACTGAACCTGCCAACACTCTTATTTAAGTATTCTTTTTCTAAGGGTTCTTTTTCTTAGTCAGTCAGGCACATTCAGTGACAGTCTGCCCCCTGACCATCTATCTCAGGCAGTACCTTGGCTGGATTGTTTCGTGATTTATCACACCTCAGCTAGGTCAAAAAGGAATGCTTGGGAAATTCACACCCTTTTCATGTTCAGGTTGCAGGTTCCTGCAAAAACCCCCTGTTTCAATTCAGTTGAATCATTTAATTTCCTGTATGTTTACTGTTCTTTTTATCATATTCACTGTTCTATCAATCAAAAAGCAAATCCTAACACTGCCTGATGTTGGACAAACCTTGATTGCACCAGTTATCAGTTGTGAGCTATGTTCTAGTAATGTTGTTTTTTAAGGCCATCTTGCATTTTGTTTTCAGAGGTTTCAAATAATGATTTATTGAGTAGGAATAGAAAACCAAAGCATAATTCCCCACTTTTTCCAGACTTATGTGACCTGTCTGTACCTCCCTACAGCCCCAGGGCTGTGCACTGTGCCCCGTGGTGGTGGCAGTGACAAGACTAGGAACAGGACAGGGATTGTAAAGCAGCTCAGCATTAATGGATAGTTTTACTCCCTAACTTGGAAACCAGCCCAGATTTCTTCAAACCAGAAGGAATCTGGAGATGTTTAGGGAATTATTCTGGTGCTGTCCCTGGGAACACTGGCACCAGGAGTGCCTCCACACCAGAAATGGCTTGGGAATGTCCCAGCTTGCTCTGGGACATCAGGGAGAGCTCAGCATCCTCTGTGCCAAGCAGCACTGCTGCTGCAGCCACAATAATGCCAAAATATCTTTAAATGGGTTTTTCTCATAGGTTTTAGGGTTTAATAGGTTTTTCTCAGGTGAACTCAGCCACTCCCAGTACACCAGCACTATCCTTCAACTGCAGGAATTTTCCAAAACTCGAGCACTTATTGTGGAAAGCCCAGAGCTGCTTCTAGATATCACTGAAACTTGTACAATATCCAGTGCCCTCCTATCATCATAACAATGAATAATTATTTCTTAAATATAGAGAGATTTACCTTCAACAGTTAAATATTCAGATTTGGTTTTGCTCGTTGGGGATAATGTGTGGGTTTTTGCCTGTCTGCCTTTAGCTCTTAGGATTTTTATCAAAAGAGGCCACTTTTACACACAGCCAGAAAAAAAACAGAACTTAAAAGGTGTTTGTCATGTTTTCAGCTATCCCTAAATGCACAGCAATTAGGCAAGGGACTCTTTTCTTTTGCCTTACCTCAGGAGTCTGTTCTGTTACTTGATGTCTTAAGACACAGCAGCAGAACTCATGTCCTGTCTGCTGGCTCATGCTTTCAAAGACACCTTTTAAAATTCATCTTTCATCTGCTATAACAATTTTTTTTGATAAATTGTTCTCTGCCTGCCTTCTTTTAATGCATTCATGAAGAGAGTGAAGGATTCATTTCAGATTGAATCTGTCTTGCTAACATGGAAAACATTAAAAGCCTTGAATGAGAAATTTTCTAACGAGAGCTGATTATTTTGCCAAAGCTCACTTAAATAATTGCACAGGATTATAAAATGCATTCCCCATATGCCTCAAGAACGGGTGAAATGGACCAGATGGAGAGAAACTTTATTCTTTAAGACATTTTCTCTACATGTTTGTCCTTCCTAGATTGATTGGCCTCTATCACTTTTCCATGTACCATCACTGCATGGAATGATAGTCCTGAAATTCCAGCCATGCCAGCATTGGCACAGGGTGTGCAGAAAGCTCTGGCTGCTCACAGGGGGTGTCTGGGAGTGCTGCTGTTCATACAGAGCAGCCCAAGGGTGCACCAGTAACTGAGAGGGTAAAGCACAGTGATGCAGCTCAGTGTGCAACACCAGGACAGTCACAATCACTGTGACTCCAATTTAACTTCAGCTTTTCACCAGGGTTCCTTCAAAAAGCTGATGTGACAGTAGAGGAATTTACCCTTCCCAATATTTTCTGCTGCCTTTAGAGCATTCCCTTGTTTGTGAGAGTGTATCTTTGTAACACAGCGACTGTGCTTACCAGAAATAACAGAGTCGTTCAGAACTTCCTCATCCTGATAAAAAACAGACTCTTCCTTGAGCTCTGAGTTCATGATCATGTTTTCTTTGTTCTCATCTGACTCTTTAACTGAGTTCCTCTTGTTTTCTGAGTCACTGCCATAACTCAGCGAGTTCTCCCTCTCTTTGTTGCGCTCCATGCTTGACGTTCTCGAGGGACGGACATCCACCCTTTTTTTTGGAGAGCCTTTGCTTTCTCTTCCATGGAAGCTATGGGTGGAAGAAGCACAGCCCAGATTTTACCAAGATTGTTTTATTGCTGCAGTAGAAACTTACATGAGAATGACAAAAACGTCCTGTAGCTCATAAAGGGCAGGGCAGGGAGTTCAGCATGGACCAACACAGGATGGCATTTTCAAGTTGAGAATGGCTAATGTGGATCTACTTTCCTGTCTGCCATTAAAATAAGACATGGAGGAGTGGTGAATAATGTTTTTCTTTGACATATGGTCACAAGATACACTGCAGTGATTAAAAACCCCACAACAACACGTCCTTCTAATGTAAAACATGCATGGCATGAAATATGACCATTCATATGATATTGTATGATCATGACAGCGGTTTAACAGGGCCTGGAAATTACATCATGTGAGTCTGTTCCCTGGGGCAGTAGTTTTTAGGGAACTGAGAAATGCTACCAACTTTACTCCCAAGCTCTGGGATGGCAGAGGTTATCTCTGTCCTCCTCAGACACACAGGATAATGAAACCCAGATTCAGCACCCAGTGTACTCCCACAAACACATCTGTATTAAAAATGGATCTTGTATGTGCTCCTGTGTCAGCCAAGGGACACAGAAATTGCATCACTTCTCATGTGTAGAGAGTACTTGGAGCAGGATTTGCCTTTGCTACTCTAACTTGGTATCTTGTGGGACAGATTTTCTTTTGCAGTAGATCAAGGATTATCGCCTGATTCTACCTGTTTGGAAACGTATTCCTGCACCACAGCAGCCTCCTTATAAAGGAAGAACATACAATGAAATAGCTGCCAAATGAGTCACTTTAACCAGGGATGTTTGTTCCAAGCAGTGACACCACGAGGAAGGCAAACCCAAGCTGCAGCAGCAATTAAAACACTAACAACAGGAATAGGAAGAACATTTTCCAAGAAAAATGAAGCGGTGGGATGAGTGTCCTCATGCAGCCCTGTGCCTGCAGGCTGTAGGTACCTGTCCTGCCGGTGTTTGGTGGCCAGAGCCCTGTGGAGTTCTTCAATGACTCTGCTGGGAGGTAAAGGCAGATGAACGGCAGCCAGGTGAGGGGAACCGGTGGGCGTTGTTACCTGGCCTCTGCCATGGGGCTCGCAGCTTTTCTGGCCAGAGGGGTGGAAAAGGGCAGCTTGTCCTGAGATTTGGGAGGAACCCACAATGACATAGTTCTTCAGGATGGTGGAAGGAGGAGATTTCATGGCTGGATCGTCCATTTCGCTTCCTGCATCAAAACACAAGAGGGGAAGAAGTTGTGCAATGCTTTTTTGGTACAGTTTTTTTTTTGCACAGCGTCTGCACTGAACTTAATTTGTTGTATTGAACAGAGGATAAATGGTGATGTTTTGCTCTTGCTGTGAGGTAACTGGCTGAGTAACTGAGTTCAAAAGGCTCTTGCTGCACCACTCCAGATCTTTAATCTAGCAAAACAGATGCCTCTTCACTTCTCCTCTTTCTCACAGGATCAGATTCTCCTTTTTCCCAGCCCACCACTGCATTTTTGGTTGCACACTGTTGCTCCTCTCCACCAAAAGCTTGGGCTGTGGTGGCTTTCCAATCTAGCATTTTCTCTGCTGGACTCTGGCAGACTGTATTAAAATTTATGCCCTATGGTTCTGAGTCTGGACAAAATGTACCAGTGTCTATTAGCTGCTCCTCTGTGATTGCTGCACAGCCCAGACCTCTGTCTTTCATATGCCCGTGGAGAAAATGCCAAAATCATTATAATATGAGGATAATGTTTGCATAACAAAACTTGTAAGCAAATGACATCCAAATGAAAAATGGGGTACTGAGCACTAACAAGAAAGAAAGAAGGGTGTGGCAATCTAATCTCATTTTAGCCCCAGATTCAGCTGTTTTCTATGCAATGTAAGCCTTTTGTCTGAAATTAGAGTTACACATTTAGACTGATTTATACATTTCCTAGTATTTGAGTCTGAGGCACAGCGGACATTTCCCTGGTTGTAAATTTGGTGTCTTCACACAACATCCCTTAGGATAACTGAACATCTGCCCTGAAAAAGATGCTGATTTGTTTTTCTGTTCTCCTCTTCCCCTTTCCCCCTCCCCTGTATCCGTGTCCCACGCCTCTGGCACATGCAGATGTTTACACCATGTGGGTGGATAAAGGCAATTCGAGCTCCTCATCCCAGAGTATTTCTTGTCCCTTGTTGCCACCTAGTGCTTCACACAGGAATTTAAACTGGTACAGCTTGCTCAGCTTTGGTACAAATGCTTTCACAGGAGATTTTTCCCTTTTTTCCTCCTCTTACTTTTGAGATAAATCCTTCAATTCCTAGCAGAGAAAAACTTCTGCTCAGGCCACGATTATCCTGTAACAAGGACTTGGTTCCAGTTAGCGGGGAAAACTTGCTAGAAAACTGGAGAGGGCAAAAAATACTAACTTCAGTTATGAAATATTTCCTCTCTGAACCAGCATCCTGCATAAGGGTTACCAAAAACATGCATTTTCTTAATTTTGCTTAAGAAGAGCTCCTGAAATCATAACCAAAGTCAAACACTGAAAATCTGAGTGTGGCAACACTAAGCCTGTTCTCTTTTTGTGTTTGTGGGGTGAGGAGGAGAGCATCCTTCAGTGAGGAGAGCTGCATCCACAATAAAATCTCTCTTGTTGTAAGGAAAGTCTAACATTACTTTTCATCTCTGGAGGTGTTTGTGCACATTTGTGTCCCTCCAGCCCAGGACCCTTTAGCAATGTCATTGTTCATTTCTATTCAGACTAGCCCAGAACTTACCCTGTTTAAAATCTGGGAAATCTGAAGGCTCAGGGGCTGCAAGAGCCAGTGCCTGATGTGCAATGTGTGAGGCACCTTCCCAGCCCAGAGCTCCTCCTGCTCTGATCAGGGTGCTGCTCCCACCAGGAGACAGCCAAACTCTGCTGAGCAAAGCTGGGCTTGGCATTCAGGGAGGGTTTGATTCTGTGCTGCTGTAGAGATGGACAGATCATAAATCATAAATTGATTTCTGAGCAATTGCTGCCCACTGAATCATGGCCTGAGGGGGTGGACAAAGCCACCTCCTGAGCCACTTTATCTCTGCACACAGAGAGGATGTCTGTGTTTCCTCAGAGCAAGAAGCAGGGCTCAGCTCAACCTCAAAGCAGAGAAAGAGAAGACTTTGTTTTGTCTTTACACCAGCTTGTTCCTGGAACAGGTCAAGGGCCAATTTCATCCTCATTGCAGCTTTGGACAATATTGAGAATTTCCTGAGATCACACCTTATTTGTCCTAATGGCAGATGTTCAGTGAATAATCTTGCAAAGTGATGTCTTGGCACCTTGCCCTGTTCCTCCTCTCTCTGATTAATTGGTGCTTGATTTACTCCTCACTCCTCTGCTGACAGCATCCCTAGCATTGTTAAGGGAGGGGAAAAAACTAAACACAAAAGAGCTTTTCAGCCTCTTCATCTTCCTTTTCTTTCATAATTGCCCTTTCTCTCTCCCCACACTTTTGTATTTCCTCTCACTCATTGACGGTATTTGTTTAATTTTAACTTAGCACTGCCCCCACATCCCCACAAAAATAAACATGTATAATCACTACTGGAAAAGGGTCTAGAATTACTGGAGTCATTGAGAAAATTAAAAGTTGTTCTTGTGGAAGATGTAAATGAGAATTGAATAACAAAACTCAAAATATCTCAGATGCTACAGGAAATACTTAGGTTAAGCAGCAAAATATCTGAACTCTAAATGCTCTAAGTGCTTGGTGGAGGTGTAATCTCTATACCCTGCGTGGGTCAGGTTTCCAAATACGTCTGATGCCAAGCATGGCCTTCTCTTCAGCTGAGCAAAGGCAGGGGGCCCTGGGGCTGCCTGTTCCTCTTGCAGGGGGGAAGAGGAGGCTCGAGCCTCACCCACAGCACAGGACAGTGAAATAACCTGAACAGCAGCTCCTGAGGAGCACTAAAACACCATTTTGAATCCAGCTCCCACTTGAGTTATTACAGCTTTTAAGCACAAAGTATGAATTGTTTCCATGGGAAACAAATACTTGTAATTTTCTTCAAAGAGACTGAAAACCTCAATATTTTCTCTAAGCCCCAGTGGTCAGGTCACAGAACCCCTCTGATGTTTTGTTTCCTGGTGACTTTGAAAACCTTGCTCATTGTGCCAGATGATGAGTGTGGATGCAAATCAGGGCTCACATAATGGCTGTCATTTAAAAGTCTAAATATCCAACAGGTCTGACATTTAGATGTCAGGACTTGATTTTCATTTGCAATAAGACCCTTTTAACTGCTTCTACCATATGTAGGGGCCCTGAAATTGGAACCAACTAAAATAATTCTCATTTTAGCACCCTTTCTGCAGTGCCAGAATGTTGAGAAATGTAACAACATTGGCAATACATTAGAAAACCAGGCCCAGGGGAATTGCTTTTGGAAACGTTCAATAAAGTCTGGCACAGAGGATTGCCAGGTGTATCACTCTTCAGAGCAGATTTCATAGCTCTAGTTTAGACCTGCCCTAGAGAAAACCCTTCAGACAGAAACCTCTGCAGAACCTTTGACTTGAACTAGATTTTGGCTGCTGTCCTGCTCTCCAGTGGGAGTCCAGGTAATGAAAACATTTAAATCTTCCTTGTGTTTTATGGCATATCAATATGAGCATGAGATTCAGCAGATGTTTGCAGTTGGTTTAGAGGATTGCCAGGTGTATCACTCTTCAGAGCAGATTTCATAGCTCTAGTTTAGACCTGCCCTAGAGAAAACCCTTCAGACAGAAACCTCTGCAGAACCTTTGACTTGAACTAGATTTTGGCTGCTGTCCTGCTCTCCAGTGGGAGTCCAGGTAATGAAAACATTTAAATCTTCCTTGTGTTTTATGGCATATCAATATGAGCATGAGATTCAGCAGATGTTTGCAGTTTGCAGTTCGATTTGTTTTATGTGTGTTTAGTGCTACAGACTCACAACAAATAACCCCCTGAGAGCTGCAGATAAATATGTGAAGTACAGATATCAGTGCATTGTTATCAGGCAGCCAGACATGGTCACTGCTCCCTCAGTATAACTGAGTGATTCTCAGCAGTTTGGGGCATCAAAAAGGCATGAGAAAAGGATTTGACAGTGCTGTGGAGGTGAACAACACATCAAGGATGGGGAAGTCTTTACCGAGCAGTGATGACTGACCTGTTATGCTCTTGGTGATTTTGGAGATTGCCTTAGGTGGTGGAGCTGGGAGCAATGGAGGGCTGGGAAGCTGTGCTGGGTTTCTGTCTGTCTGCTTCTGGGGGGAATCTGTGGATTCAGGTACAAGTAAGGCTTGTGGACTGTCTTCAGATGCTGGCAGGCTGGCATCTTCCAGTTCTTCCGTGGGTGCTGAAGGTTTCTTGGCTAGTGGGAAGATGAGTAAGATTAATGGAACACGAAGTTAATAATGATAGGCCAGGGGACAATGCCAGGAACATTCAGAAAAACTGAACACATGGCACACAGCTAGAAACACTTCTTTTCCACTGTGAAAGTAACTGTGTGAAACAGCCAACCAGCCAGGGCAGGTGAAGAATAAAACATACAAGGATGCTGAGGACATGTTAGTTTTGATGTTTCTGAGAAAACTGCTGTGCTTCCTTTACTTCCCTAAAGCCTTTTTGCCCCCTTTTTTTTAATAACAAGGATAGCAAGGCAAAGCAACTTTTGAGAACTGCAATGAATTTTCTTAGAGCACACAACTGTGGTGAAACAGTTCCTGGGTGAGCACTCTTCTGTCTAGGAACACACAGCCAAAGGGCAAGGAGTATCAAACCCAGAATACCACCTAAAAACTGACTTTCCAATAGTTGATGTGTGTTTTTATTTTCCTAATATAATTTTTATCTTATTTAATACATGATTTCAACTTGGTTCCTGAGTCTTCTGTACCTGATTCCAGAGCTGTTGAGCATTTCCTGAGGTTAAAGTTGATAACCAAAAAGACCCTGCCACAAAAAAAGATTTTCAATTGGATCTGAGCAGTTAGAGTGGAACAGGCAATTGGTGAAGTACTTAAGAAAATAAATCAGTTTCCAAGACCCTGGTTTGAGATGGTGAAGCACTGCTCATTTCAGGACTGTCTCTGCAAGGATGGCAAAAGCACTTAGCTGTGAAAGTTAGTGCAGGCTGAATCACTGAGCAGTTCATCAAATTGACCAGGCTGTGATGAGGGCACAGGGGAATGGATCCAGAAAGGCATGAAGCTGAAGCAGGACACAGGTAGAATTTCAGTGATGAAGTCCAAATTTAGCATCCTTGAATTCTGCTCAGATACAGCTGCCCTGGCAGTGCCCAGACTCCCACAGAGCCTCTCTGCTGGGCTCTCACTGTCACACGTCCTGATCCCTGCCTGGGCAGCTGAGGGACCCACGGGAGCCCGCAGGCTGACTCTGATCCAGCCACGGCCAGGCTCCCTCCAAAGTGCATTTCCAGCCACTCTGGGCTCAGCTGTAGCCATGAGGGTTATTTTTCCTACCCCAGAGGGGGAAGCACTCATCAAAATGGGGAGATCAGTGTTTAAATATCTCAGAATCATAGGATAGTTTGTGTTGGAAGGAACCTTTAAAGGTATTTAGTCCAATCCCCTGAAAGGAGCAGGGACATCTTCAACAAGATCAAATTGCTCAGAGTCCCATCCAACCGGACCTTGAATGTTTCCAGGGATGAACATCTACCACCTCTTTGGGCAGTGTGTTCCAGTGTTTTACCACCCTTATTACAAAAAGACTCTTCCTTGTATTTAGCCTGAATCTTCCTTCTTTCATTTTAAAAACACTGCCCTGTGTTCTATCACAACAGGTCCTACCAAAAACTTTGTCTTCATCTATTTTATAAGCTCCCTTCAAGTACTGAAAGGCTGCAACAAGATCTCCCTGGAGCCTTCTTTTCTCCAGTCTGGCTGACCCCAGATCTCTCAGGAGAGGTGTTCCACACCTCTCATCCTTTTGGTGGCCCTCTGGACCTCCAACAGCTCCACGTCTTCCTGTGCTGGGGATCCAGAGCTGGGGTCATGCAGAACATGAGAGGGGTCCCCAAACTCCTGGGCAAATCCCACTCCTTTGGGCACTCTGGATTGTCTGACCAGAGCACCTTTCCCTCCAAACCATTCTAGGCCATCTCCTAAAATCTCACTGCAGTGGCACCCACAGCTGCTGCATCACAAATCTTTTCTTGGCTCAGTTTTGTCTTGTTGGGAATTCAAACTCTCTGTATTAATGAACATCCAGCAGCCTCGTGCTCAAGAGTGCGTGGGGAGGCACCAAGGCACTCAGGCAGTTGGAAACAATAGCATTGGCAAGATAATGACATTTAATTTATTGACAAACAGATTAATGAGTGTGCCTAGAAGGGGAGGAATGAGTATTTATCATTCAAAAGAGACAGGAAAGAATAAATATGCATCATTACCAGGGCTCTTGTGAAATTTGTCATGACAGGAGAGCTGCTGTATGGGATAGTTATGTGAATTACAGAAGGAAATAATTTTTTCAAAATGCACTTACAGGGTAATGCCTTGTTCCAGGGTGACATCACTTGGGTGTTTGTGCCCATTGCACAGGAGACAAAATGTGTAATAGAGGAAGGGAAAAACAGAGTCACTAATAGGTTACATTAGTGAAAGATCAAGAGCCCCAATAGATGTTAGGAGCTGGAGAGGAAAATGAGTCAGATTTGAGTGCATTCCCCTGAGAGGAGCAATGCTTTCCCTGGCAGTGGCTCCCCTGGAATCAGTGGCTGTCCCTGGGACAGGAGGGGCTGCTTGGCACAGCCACAGTGGCACCCCTGCTGCAGAGCAGGTGGGTCCCAAAGGCTCCCAGCCCCAGCCCGACTTTGTGGGTCCTGAACTCCACCCTGCTCTGAGCGTGGTGTCAGGCAGATCTGAGTCCTGAGCACACAAAACCATTAACAGATTTCATACTGCAGAGTGAATATTATCCTGCTGAAAGTATTCCAAGTGCTCAGCACTAGAATTATTCATGGAGTGCCACTTGTCAAAATGCCATCTCATTACCAGGTAGAAATCCTCCCCTTGGGACTGTCCCCCAGCCCACTGGCAAGGTTAGGTGAGGAAAACTGCCCTCTTTGTGCCCTGGCTGTTCTTTTGCTGTGTATTAACATGAACATGAAGTCTGCAAATTGTGTTTTCTCCTCTTCCCCTCCTTGGCCTTTATCCCACATCCTTAGGATGACATAGAACATGTTGGGTATAAAGCAAATCCCTTTTGTTTTTAGCTGGTCACTTATTGATGTGAATCTCTGGAAAGCCACCCACTGCATTAGGCCTAGATTGAGCCCAAGGGCAAATGTTATAAAAAAATAGACATTATAATAAATTTAGCAGCATACTGTCAATTTTGAAGAGCTTTCCCACCCAATTAATTCCTTCAGGTGCACTCACTATAGACAGGAATTCTAGGATGTACAGACAGGGATAAATAAGCACATAAAACTAGATCAGCAATTATTATTTTGAAAGCCAGAGGCCACCAATAGGAGAGGCAGAAAGACTTCCTACAAATTGGAGTCTCTCAGACAGGAGACAGGAGAATGTAATCCCACTGTTATTTTTTGTGGAACCTGGGAAAATGACACCTCAAAAAATGGAGGAAAAGAAATACAGAGGACAGGAGAGATTGTTTCAGGGAGACAATAAAAGGAACTAGGATTAGGGGAAAAGACCTAAGAAATTTGGATGATTCTGAAAGCTTCAATACACGATTTTGAACACACTGTAAGGTGAATTTGAAATTGCACTATGAGTTTATGCAGAGCCATAAGGTTCAACAGATGACATCTTATTAGTGTCATCCTTCCATGACAGTACGTCCCAATGGTAAGAATTACAAGTTCAGAAAGAAATTTCTTTAGTGATACAGAATTAAATGCTCTAGAGTAGAGAAAGAAGAAAAGAAACCTGTAATCTGGTCAAGATTCAATCTGGTTGTTGTAAGAACAGGAAGATGAGTGGGTTTTGCCTCAGCTGATGAGGGACTGATTTCCATTCTGAGGGTGGAAGCAACCAGGGGCTGGGACCCCCAGGAAAGCAGGGCCTGAAGGGGTGGGACAGAGAACAAAAGGCAGCCAGGGCAGATGGAGAAAGTGTAAAGATTGCTCAGAGGGCAGGAAGATCCATAATCACCACATGACAGTCCTCACAAACCAGGATAAAGCATTATCTCTGCAGCTTTGCATTTCTTGGTGGTCAGGAGGTGACTGGAGCCCTCCAGCTGCGGGGCTGTGCCTGGCTGCTCCCGTCCCCAGGCAGGGCTGCCATGGACGAGCTCAGCAGAGCTGCACCAAAGGAGCCTGGCTTAGCTGATCTCTGCTCCTGGAATCAAAATTCACTGGTGGTTGCAGCATGCTGAGGACAGAGTGGTGACATGGACAGTGTGGGCTGTGTATTGGCATTGCTCTCCCGAGCCAGGACTAATAAATTCAGGCTTGGCACAGAAGTTTAAGAAATCTTTTCAAGAGAAGCTTATTTCATCTTCACAGCAGCTGCTGCTGATACCAAAGGGGCACCATGCCAAGACTGGATCATCTCATAATTCAACTAATCCAATCATGCCAAGCTTTGTGTAGTTCCTCAGCTTGGTAGAAGTCTCAAAAATCACTATTAAACACCAATTGCTAACATAGTGTGGGGCTGGGCTGAACAAGGTGCTTTGACCTTTAATGCACTAATAAAGTAGACTCCTCAGCACAAATATTTTTATAACTCTTCATAGTTTTTTGAAAACATTTTATATCCAATACCTGTATCTTCTTTCAGCTCATCCAAGTGCAGCTCCTCACCAAAGGAGGTCACATTCGTTGTGGCTGCTGTTGTGGTGTCCTGCTGCTCCTCCTCTGAGGTGAGTGCCTGGCACACGGCTGCTGGAGCCTCGCTCTGCGTCACCCTCGTGCCATCGTCACCAGTGCAGGCTTTGCCCTCAGTATCTGAAACAAATAATTTAATCTTAGCTAAATCATGAGCAGTGAAAGCTGAGCCCTCCTCCTGCTATTCTCTTGAGAAGAGGGAGTCTTAAAGCTGCTTGTGCTCAGGAGACTGAGACTTTTCTTAGAGCAGCACCTGATCTCTGTGTTAACCACCTGTGATGCAAATCCTGTGGGCACCAGCCCACCTGGCACAAAAACCCACTCAGGTTTCTCAAGGAGAAACCTAATTATGTGGGCATCCAGCTGCCTCAGCAAGTGGCCACTGTGCTCTGGAAGCAGCTGCCACATGGAGACGAGCAATGGGCAATCAGAGGTCTCCAGGAGGAGGCAATTCCTTCCTTGCATGAGCAGAGCCTGTGGTGCAGCACATTCCCAGGTGGGTCTGACATGTCTGGGCTGTGCCAGGCTCTGTGCATGACCTGCTGCCATCCAGCCATGCTGGAGGAAGGAAAGGCTGCTCATATTCCTACCAAACTGCAGGATTTTAGCACAGTTTTAGTTACTCAGCTTTGTAAAGTATATCCTGTGTGATTGAGCTGATCAGAAATTCAAATCCTTCCTCATGCAGACCTAGAAACTGCTCTCTTTGCTTACTCTGAAAGATTTTTGTGCCAGTGATCCCTGCAGCTGTACGCATCTTGATGACTGAAGCTTTTCTAGTATTCTCTTATTCAGGCAAGAGTCTTCAGAATACAAACTACTCTTTTACTCCCTCAGAATTTACAAGATCTACATCACTGTTGCAAACCACAGAAAGCAACCACTTCCCTCCCTGGGCAGCTCTCCATGCTGATGGATGCTCCTGCTGTCCACCCTTCACCTCCCAGCTGGTACTTCTCAGCCCTGGACACTCCCTTCTGGAAGCTCCTCACAGGGCTGTGTTTTCTTGCAGTTCTATCACTACAAGTTCCTTGAGCATTGATTTAAAACTGCAACATTCACAGTTATCTCTTCTTGATGCTATTTGGACAATCTGCAGGGTAATTTCTTGTGCTTTTGGGTGAGGGTATCAGATTTTGGCCCAGAGATGCTGCGGAAGGGATGCAGTATTTTTGCACACTGAGCTCACTCAGTCTGCCTCATAATCACGTTTGGTGAAAAGTTACTGTTCTTAAAATAGCCCTTGCAGTAGCACAGTTGCTATGATACAGAGAAGGGGAGGGGGAAAAAGTTCATTGCCTACATTTCAGCTCCTTGTGAAGGCAGCCTGTACATAATCATGGGTGTGTGAACCACTGCCCCGAGCTGTAAGCACAGATAAACCTGATCAGCTTCGTGCTCACCAAGGGGACAAACATTGAGGGGGGAGCTCCCTAAACATGTTCAAGGTAACTCTGCTCTGCACCTTCCTCACACCCTTGGGAAAGGCAGCTGGGCCACAATGGATCTGCACCAGACACTCCTTCAGGGCTCCCTCAGGTCCAGCCCCTGGCAGGGCAGGGGCTAATGAAGGGATGGCAGGCAGAAGATGTTCCTCTTGAAGCATTTCTGAGACTCACAACAGCGATGTTCTGGGACAGGAAGGATCAGCTGGTGCTTAGATCAAAGTGGGTGTGCTGCTTTGGGTGCCAGTGGGTCCTAACATCGTATTTTAGAGATGATCTGGGGACAGGACAAAGCACAGGCCTCAGATCCAGGGGGAAGGAGGACCCCAGCCCTCAGCACTGCATGGTAACCAGGAGCAGGGCTGGGACTTGGCTGGGAATTAACCCTGCTGAGTGCCAGACCCAGGCCATCTCTCAGGGAGCTCAGCTGGTTCCCCAGAGTGAAGCTGCATTTCAGGAGTTTTCCAGGCTGGCATCTGCCCTGTGTGAGCAGAGCCACAGAGGAGCAGGGGACAGAGGTGGCCCAGGCCATGCTGTCAGTGGCCAGCCAGGACTGGGGGCTGTGTGAGGAGACAGGGGGACACAACCTGCCAGGGTGACTGGCCACCCACACAGGGACAGTGGGCTGCTCCCAGGGCACTGCAGGTCCTGCACCAGCCCTGTGCAGAGCTCAGAGCCACATGGGCCACTGCCAGGGCCACTGCCAGTGCCAGTGCCAGTGCCAGGGCCAGGGCCAGTGCCAGTGCCCAACACTGCTCCAGGCCTTGTGCTGTGGGTCTGAGTGGCACCTGCTGCAAATGCATGAGGCTTCTCAGGCTGCAGCATCCTCCCAGATGGGCTGTTTATGAAAGTGAGCAGGAATCAGCTCCCTGGAAGTGGAGTAGAGCCCGATGGAATAGAGGGATTTGAGGATTTACTGTAGTCTTTTAGCACAGTTTTGCTGCTTTGACAATTGCAACTTAACTGCATGAACAAGGACTTAGCCTTGAAACTGCTGCCACTTCAGCTCAGTCCAAGTAGGGCACTAATCATTTACTGAGAATTATTTGGGTCAGTTTTTATTCCAGTTAATAAGCTGCTTCTACTAATATAATAAAATAACCCTGGAGATTCACAACACTGTAAAGAAAAATAACTTGCAGGCAGCTGCAATGTCCTTCAGCTGACTGTGATCCATTCTTCCCTTTCTGGGCACAGGGAGGCACTGGAAATTTGTGTGATGTTTATAGGAGCTCCAGGCAACTCTCCTGCAGACAGGTAAGCAGTCTGTTTGCAGCTGTCTAGTTAAAAGCACAGCTTGTCCTCACACCTCACTGGACTATATTTATTTGAACTATTTTAATTTTATTAAAATTATCTTGCTGTTTGGCACCACCTTTTCCTCCCAACCGTTCTTTATGCATGCAAGAGGTTTATTGATTCCTCATTATTGCCTCTTAATATGCTCCACAGAAGTTCTATTTTACTGTTTTTTTGCAGAGCATGACTTCAAATTCATGGATTATAGGGAACTTTCCTGCTCCTAGTGGAGATCATGTACATACAGTAATGCTAATATGCTAATAGGACAAGTAATTATCTAGAATTATGAGAGACACAAAGACTTCAATGGACAGGAATTAAAAATGAACTTTCTAAGAACTTCCATTTTAGAATAAATGAATGGTTTGATAGATTATTTAATATAAAGTCTAAAATATATCAAACAGAATAGTATTAAAATTGCTTTACTCTCGTGGGAAAAAATCCTATTTAAAATGCTCTTTTCTGACTCTTCAGTTGCTCAGTTTCACTCCAGCTTGGCATCACTGAGTATTGTCCCAGGGGTTATTTACAGACACAGCATTTGTCTTATACAAAAGAAACTCAATTACTACTTTCCAAGAACATAACTTCTATCTGTGAGATTAATCAAACTCAAAAGGCCAGTCCTCTTTCATGACCGTACTTTCTGCTATGATGTTTTCAAAGATGGATTTGTGGTGTTTATCTCTGTTTAGGTGGAAATGGCAATTGGGAAGTTGTCCACAACACTGGGAGCTCAGTTAATCTCACAGAACAGTCACCCAGATCTGTGTCTCCCTGGAGCATCTGTCGGGGCTTTGGAGCACAAGAACCATGTCCTTTGTGAGTGTTTCTGACACTTTATCAACTTTCCTTCCATGACTTCTGGTTTGTACTCAGGAAAGCTTTAAAATTACTCCACTAAATGCTTCACTTTTCCATGGGAATGAAAAGCAGGCAGACTGGCAACGTGTTACATCACAAACTTGGAAACACAGCTGAAAAAGTCAGATTAGGATCATTTGACAGGATCTGGACCCATAGGTTGTTCATGTTAGCTGACTGCATCTGTATGTTGAAGTTTATATTTATCCAGCTTGAGCTGGATTTCTTGGCAGAGGGATTTAGCTGGCTTTAGAGCAATTATATAAAACATACATACCAGCTCGGGCTGCACCACGTGTAAACCACGGGAACACAGAGGAGCATTCAAGATGGGACAGCACCAAACACTAAACTGTATGGACTGATTGCAGCAGGGAGGAGCTTGAAGGATGACAAGCCTTAAATTCAGACATTGAGTTTTCCTCTCTGTTTGGATTGAAGGTTTTTATTCATTTCCTTGTTTATTCTGCTTTTGCAAGTATGTTTCCTACTGTCCTGAAAGAGCCTCTGATAAAAAAAAAAATTAAGAATTTTTACTTACCTTGTTCCATCATCTCCAGAAGGCCTTTCTTAATGAGTTCATCCCTCCCTTGCCGTGCTGTCATCTTCTTCTCCAGCACTGCACAAAGTAGTGGCACAACACAGCACCAGTTACCAACAGAGCAGTCATGTAACGGGGTGAGAAAGAGGCAACATGGAAATTCCCTCTAGTCTCAACTCCTGGAAAGGACTGCAAGGATTTTGTTTTGGGGAGCATAGATTGGTCAGCTGTTTGTGCCTCTTCCTTTGTTAAAATGACCCCACGTAAAGCTGAGGTTTATGATGTCAGGTGCTGTCAGACCACTCTGAGTGCAGAGCCACGGGGATTTCAGAGCCTCCCTGCTGTTTCCTGTGGCACCTTGGAGCTGCCTTGGACAGTGTCCTCCCCTGGGACACTCCCACAGGATACAGCAGCAAATGGAGGGAACTGCACTGTCCCATCTTAGGAAAATGCAAGTGAGTTTGTCTCCATACTGATCCCTGGAGACCAGTGAGAGGATGCTGTGCTGTGTGCTGGGTTCCTTCCCCTCAGAGACAGCTGCTTGAGGGAAGGCATTTCACATGCTGCAGCTCCCTCCTGTCACTTCTCATCATGTCACTGTGACCTACATAAACTTCACCCCAAATAAAAGGGGTGACAATACTTGGGGCCATAAATGTAGCATAAATGTGTGGAGAAGGGACAGCCCATGGAAAGCAGTCTGGGGGCAAGGCTTGTGATTCACTCTCATATTTTAACCTTTTCCTCTATATTGTGTTATACAGGAAGTCAGCCTGTATGGGCCCCTCCAAGCCTTAAACAATATTAATCTGTTGAATGCTGGAATCTCTGAATGGGGTTTGGCTCAGGTGACCTTTAACATGACCCATGAAAGCTTTGTTGTGCAGCATCCCTCTCCTGTTCTCAGCCTACCTGCAGATGTCTGCTTTAGCTTCTCATTTTTCTTTTTCCGCCACTTCCACGGTTTGAAGATCCTGCCCAGTGTTGCCAGTTTGCTGTTCCTCCTCACTGGTGGAGTTCTAATCCCTGAGACCAAGTAGTCAGAACGCACTGCAGGGGACTGCTCCATCTCATCTGAGAGGGGAAGAGAGGAAAATCCTGTTAGACAAAACCCCACAGTGACTTGCAAAGGGCAGGCAAAGGTGCTCACCAAGGCACTGGTGCCACTGTCCCCCCAAAAGCTGCAGGGAGCTGTCACAGCCTCCTGAAACTGGGAGAGCTGAGAGCTCCCCATGGCTTTAACAGGAGCAGTGGAAGTTCAACACATCTGTAAATCAGGCTCACGTGGCCTCCAGTTAATCACATAAATGTAATGCTCATTTAAAAACTGCAGACCTTTATGAAAAGCTGAGAGGAAGTGTGAGAGAGCTCAGATCCCTTTGGAATCCCCAGATTCCAGCTCTGTTCCTGGGTCACAGGATATTGCTGCCTTTTAAATGAACTCTTCACATGAGCTAACACAGAACACACTGACTTTTGTGAGCTAATGTAAATCTTATATAAAAGAAGAGTTTGTTTGATATGCTATGTAAGTAAAATCTCAGAACTACTGTGACAATTTATTCCTTGAGAAAGCTACAGGGAAAATTCTTTCCTTTTTGTCCAGCCAAGCCACAGGAATTCAGAGATAATGCTTCAGCTGGAAAATCAATTTAGGTATTTTTAATAATTTTCCTTGAAAATGCACCACAGGTTTTGCTTATAGACAAGTGTTGCATGAAACAATACCCACTGAGCATTCACAGCTGTGTGCCAGCCAGTGCCATGGAGGACAGCAGGACAGTCCCCTAAATGGGGTTATTGATGTCTTTACTGAGATCTGTATTACAGCACCAGTACAGTAATTGTTGAAAGAGAAGCTGCCATCAGACCTGTTACAGAAATAAAAACTGAGCAGCAATTTGTATTTTTTTTCCTAACAACCAGCTATGATTTAAATTGGGAATGTGAAGCTATGAACATATGTACATTACCAAGTGATTTTTCTCTGGAACAGCAACATTTATCATAAATTGCTTTATGACTGCAAGATCATACATATCCAGCATCTTCTAGGCTTTGTTTTTAAGTTAACAGGGTGAAAATGCCTAAATCACAGCATGGAGGTGGGGATTTCCAAGTAAACAGGAAACAATTTTTGGGAGATTATTAAACACAGCAGGGGAATAAACACATTCCTCCTCTTCCATTTAATTTTGAAAATACTGGTAATAGAGATGAATCACTCAGTGGAGACAAACTAAAAACTTGGCTATGTGAGCTATTAGAGCAGAGAAAAGCTCTAACAATTCCCCACACACATCATGCATGCCCAGTGAAATTCTCTTTCTTTGTATTGAATTTAGAGCACCTTTTCCTCATTCCACTGAGTTTATCTAGGGGTTTAATTTACAAGAGATTTAAAGTAATATTTTTTTTTTCCTTTGAACACATGGTGCTTACCCAAGGTGATATTTATAATCTACAATTTGGAGGTCAGTATTAAGTTGAAAGCAGAAAACAGCAATGAGCCTTGGACAGAAGGAAGGCAGTAGCCTACAGACCACAGCTGGAGTGCCAAGATATTCTGCTTCTTTCCTAACAGTGTATTCAAAAATGAGAAGTACCACAGAAATAAGCTTTGAAGAATTAGAGCTGCTCTTGATTACAGCAATAGCAACAAGAATGGAAAATGGCAGAGTAGATCTCCTATTAACTTGCTATTATGAACACTTTAAAGCTGTAATAGAAGCCTCAGGAAATAGCATTTGGTCATTTCTTGTGACACCTCTTGAGTGGAAATAGAAATGTTCATGAAATTAGCTCATCTCCAAGTAGCTGTGGATGAGGCTGTGAATCAGAGCCCTGGGAGCCGCAGTGGAGAGGGACAAGCTCAGCTCAGCTGTCCCTGCTCCTTGTCACACTGCACTGCTGCTCCTCCCAGGCCACGAGTTTCTCAAGCACGGAAGTGAGGATTAAACACGAAGCTGATTTACTGTGTTTCCTTTGGGATGGAGGTGTCTGCAAAGTGGGTCAGACATCCCCCACAGGTTTTGTTTAATATTGGTAGCATAAGGCCATTTGAAGTTTTTTGCAGGTAGGGGATACACAAAGAACCAGGAAATCATTTGAACCCAAACCTGTGGGTCTCCAGCAATGCTCATGGTCCCAGACAGTGCCCTAACAAGGGGAATGGGGAGATTTTAAAGGACACTGAGGTTTCCCTGGGTGTTTCTGTGGTTTACACCAGCCCTGCCAACTGTGTTTCTTCCCCCGCTTTCTGCCCTCTTCGTTATGGAAACGCAAAGACTTTGATTGCAGATGAAACACAGGTACAAATCCAATGTCAAAGAAGGAATAGCAGCTAAAACACATGTTCTAGTGGAGATTTTTGTGGGCTTTTTTACTTTGTTGATGTTTCTCATATGGTACATGCAGTCCTTCTCACCATATGCAGTTTCTATACTGTGCATTGGGAGAGATGGACACAGAAATAGACAGACACACAGCAAGACAGACATCCTGAAGTCCTAAATAACAAGGAAGTGGTCTCACTGGCAATGAGAGTCACAAGAGAGCCCTTGGAGCACCTCATTTCCAGTCAGTTCATTTTCTCCTGGTTGTGGGTTGGCTGCCTGGGAGATCAGAAGTTGACAGCCCAAAAAGCAGTTCCCACGTACAGCAGTGACTGCTGGAGGAGAAGGCACTCCTAAATATCAGCCAGCTCCTGCAGCCAACAAGCTGCCAAGGCTTGCCAACCCTCCAACCACTCTGTGAAACATTCAGCACATTTTTTTTAATCTGCAGTCAATATTTTAATTATGCTAACTGTTCTGTGGAATAATGTGGTTATTTCTCCCAGAGCCTGACAGCCTGGGGCCAGGCCATGCAATTACACAGGGGATGTCTGCAAAATACAAACAGCCAAGAGCCAAACCGTGACTCTCCAAATCAGCAGGGGGAAGCAAGCAGCAGCTTAACTGGCTGCGTATTGTGGAAGGATGAGGGACAGTCACTATCAGGTCCAGAGAACACCAATTTAACCCCAGCACATCCAGGCCAGCCTGCTGGCCCTCACTGCCCCACAAGCAGGCAATCCTCAGCCCTGTGGGGCACAGGATTTTGCTCTAGCTGAAGCTTATTGGCTGTTTATGCCAAAATCACTTTAAATTCCTTGCTGTACACATTTGAGAGCAAAGACTCCTGTGCTGGAGCTTCAGCCCCAGAACAAACCCCTCTCATAACACAAACTCCTCACAAGTGTGCCAAAGGGGTGGAAAGCAACGTGGCTGTGCCCCTGCTGATGATGTGGGCATGTTCTTCTCACAATGGTAACTGGGTAATTTCTAGAGTTCCTAGCAGTGGTGCAGTGTGAGTGGGTTAATCTCTGAGACATTCCCAGTCAGAGGAGGGGAGAGGTTCCAAAGTGACAGGAACTGCTCTGCAGTGCAGCTCTGGGCTGCAGAATCAACCAGGCAACAAAGAAGAAGCAAACAAACCATAATATTCATTACATTTGGCTCCAGGGCCTGACCCCTCAGAAAGTCTGAGCATCTGCAGCTTCTGTTCACATCAGCAGCAGTCGTGGTGAAAAACACTCCCTTGCTTTCTTCTTTAAAACACTGTGGTGCCATAAATAGAGCACTCTTCCTGCAGTTCCCCTCTCTGTGGGAATTGTGCACTGATTGTGAAGGTTTTCTGCTATAGAAGCTCCAGACCCTGCCTCCATCCCAGGCAGCCTCCCACAGAGGAGGGTTTGCTGGGATGGAATTCTGTGAATTGTGTGGTGGGAGAGTGCCCTGAGCTGCCACAGCCCTCATCCCTGCCACAGCTGGCTCTGGTGCTGAGGTGACATGTCTGGGTGACAACAACACTGTTAAACTGAGCGCTGGGCTCACTGAGTTGGGTTCATCTTCTCTGGTTTTTGCAGTGTGTAGCTGGATGCCTGCTGATTACAGCAACTGCAGGATGCATTCCACAGGCTGAGGAAGGGCAGCTGGGAACATCAGGGATGCAGGGCTGACTCACACTGACCTTGCCATGCAGGCAGGCTGCAGGGGACACGGGATGTCCTCCCGTGAATGCCGCAAGAAGTTTGTGGGAAGATGAAGGATGCTGAATTTTAATGTGCTGGGTATTCTGGTAACTCAAATTCACAGTAATGAAAGTTGTGCCTTGCTAAATCCTGTGTGCACATTAGTAGGAGAAGGACCACTGAAAAATCTGCAACCTGCAGGCAGTTTAAAAATAACACAGCAGACAAGAGCTGCAGGCAAATTTGTAAGGCAGGCGTGCTCTGTTTGCTGATGAATTGGTTTGGGATGCAGCTCTGCATGTTTTCCCCTTTACTGTCATTGCATCTCTCTCTGCAACTCAGGTATTGAGCTAAAAAAAGGAAATAAAAGTTCCCTTTGGTCCACTGCAGAGGGTAGAGACAGTGAGTGGAATCAAAATGACCTTTCTGGCTTTTGGAATAGAGGTGCCTTTACCACCAGTAACTTTCAGTGCTGCCTGGAATTCAGGAGTTCCTCTGGAAAGGAGGTGAGGGAGGATGACACAGGGGAGCTGAGCTTTTAAAGGGTTCCTGTGTCCCCCTGGCCACTCCCAAACTGAGCCAGCACTTCCCTCAAGGAAGTGAGAGGAGCCTGCAGGGCAGGGAAGGCAGAAAGGTGTTGCTCTCAGAGTAAAGATTATCCTGAGCTTTGTGAAAGAGAATTAGCAGCAGGAACAATCCCCCTTTTCTTTAGTTTAGCATCCTGAAAAATAAAGACCTGACCACAGTGACTGAACATGCAGGACAGGGGTAAGCTGCTCGTGTCTGGAAGCCTTTGAATGCTTCTGTCTTATGTTCCAGAGAAGCAGAATTCAAACTGAAGAGTTTTTTTATTGCACCAGTTAGATGTTTCCTGTGATGGAGCTCTTCCTTGTTCTAAAAATGTTTTCTGTCACCTGCATTTCTGCAGACATGCTCTCTTGCTTGACTCTCTTTGAAAGAGAGAGCAGCAGAATGTTCCAGTTTGAAGTTTCCATTTCAGTTTTTTGAACATAGAGAGTATTTTTATTTTTGCAGTTTTGAATGACTGTTAGAAACTAGA